CATCTGTGAAATACGAGGGGAGTCCACCTTGGCTGTGTGAACTGTTGCAGCACTATGGTCTCAGAGTAGGTAGGTAGGTAGGTAGATAGAGAGAGAAAGAGTGAGTGAGTGTGTGTGTGAGTGATAGAGCTTGCTTATAGGTCTCTGTTACCGTTTATCATGAGTTGATATCCCTGTCCATATGCCCCTGGTGAGTGAGTGAGTGAGTATAGTTTTATTACGCCAGTTTTAGCAATATTCCCGGAATATCACGGCGGGGGGACACCAGAAATTGCACGCACATTGCACCCATGCTTGGACTCGAACCCGGGTCTTCGGCATAACGAGCGTACGCTTTAACCACTAGGCTACCCCATGGCCCCAGTAGACCCTTATCGATGGACTTAACTGATATAGGTAAACTATATATTTAACTACTACAACGATTGTACTATTGATTTAGTAACTGACCAACAAGTAGGAGTATTCTATGATTTGTCAATTTGTTCCTTAACGCTGCACCCAGTAATATTCTAGCTGTACGACGGTGACATTAAAATAATATAGTCTGGGACTGACAAACCAATGATTGATATCATGAAGACATATTTACGACGTTAATAACGATCAATTAAAAAAGATTACATGTTCCTCAGATGATTACAAGTTCTGAGTCATACCATTTCATATGATCTATTAGGGGCAGTGACATTGTCCGGGTTCGATTCCCCATATGGGTATAATGTGTGAAGCCCATCTCTGGTGTCACCAAACGTGATATGCCTTGAATATGCTGAAAGCGGCCTAAAACTAAACTCAACCAGTCCCTCTAAAGAATCCTCTGAAGCGTTTGAAAGGGTAGTCAAACAATTCTTGCCCAAGAACGGATACAAAGCATTGCATTTCCAAATTTCAATTTCTACGTCACTTTGTGAACATAATTAATCTTTTTGACAGTAAAACAATACAGGATACAACATATTTTACGAATTGTTATTTGGTGAGTGAGTGAGTATAGTTTTACGTCGTGCTCAGCAACATTCCAGCTATATGACGGCGGTCTGTAAATAGTCGAGTCTGAACCATACAATCCAGTGATCAACAGCATGAGCATCGATCTACGCAATTGGGGATCGATGACATGTGTCAACCAAGTCAGCGAGCCTGACCACCCGATCTCGTAAGTCGCCTCTTACGACAAGCATGGGTTACTGAAGATGTGTTCTAACCTGGATCTTCACGGGTATATTTGATATGGAAACACGCTAAGGTAGGCCATACCGTTTTACCGGTACATAAACGTTCCTGCTACAAGCGACGTGTGTTTTGTAAAACAAACACTCATGATGACGTCGCCACTCCTACTATCTCTTATCGTGTGTGTGGGAGTAGGTTATATAGCCTCATGATATATCGGGTCAACTTTAAGTGTGCTAAATTATCAGTATAAGGCCGTGTTTCCCATCTCAGCCCCAAATTTTCACCTCGACGTGAAATACTATAATGTTTCTTATCTCAATTTTCCAGATATTAAAAATATTTCTACCCTTTCACACTCATAAATATAACAACTGGTCAGCTTGATATTTCATTTTTATCATATCTGTATTTTATAAACAAATCAAACCCCGCTGTACATCATAAATAGACTTAATGGCTGTAACCTAGTGATCTAAATCTTAAAGTTGCTTTTAAAAAGTTACACGATTAGTTTTATTAATTTGTTTGCTTTGTCTACCCGGACTCTCACTGGTGGAAGTTGGAGATGAGAAACACATAAACACGTACAGAAAGAAAGAAAACAGCTTGTAGATCAAGAAGTGCTGTACGATATTTTCAGTGTACTTGAGAAACCGCTAAGCATCTGAGGTAAACAAGGTGTAGGTACTATAAGCCAGATTTACTGAAAGACTGTCCTTGTACTAATAGTGCTCTGTTAACGTTTATCATCAGTTGAAAATAGCCCTGTCCATATGTCCCTGGCGAGTGGGTGAGTATAGTTTTACGCCGCTGTAAGCAATATTCCAGCAACATCACGGCGGGGGAACACCAGAAATGGACTTCACATAATGTACCCATGTGGGGAATCAAACCCGGGTCTTCAACGTGTCGAGCGAACGAAGTAAAAAATGAAATATGAATGAATGAAAAAAACAACAACCTAAACATTCTAAAATAAAACAAACAAGCAAAATATACATAAATAAGATAATTAATAATATAAAAATACTGACTGAATCACGGAAAGCTAATGTGGTTAAGTCTGTACTATTTTGAATGTTATTTCCCGAATTCATGTCCATTACAATTTGAAATATGTATATGCACATCAGGGCAAGTTTAGGTTTCTTTTGCATGATTTTCACATGCACGAGCACGCAGATGCACGGAATTTACATGCAGGTAATCCAACACTTGCAGTTTCTTGACAAAGCTCCCCAGACGCCTGTCTGCTACCCCACACCGCGAGAGCCAGTATTGTAATAACGGGGCAAGTAACGCCCTCTTGTAGCCAGTAAAACCTTGTCAGTGAATTTGAAACCATTGTGCATTTTCTCTGTAGGGGACAACGATGACTTGCAGCAAACAACTGGGGCGTAATAAATCCTGAATTTTCTGAATAACAAAATTCGTTTATACGTACCCATGCGCAGCGATAGTGGTAGGAGAGGTGAGATTGTATGGCGCTTAGCCGAACTTCACTGTTTTATATTGCCTTCCATTGCACGGTCGCGTAGTGTTGGTGAAACGTCAGGAGATGCGAGGTTTTAGGACCTCGCAGGTGTGGTGATATCATGTCACGTGCAGCACGTGCAAAACGCTTACATAAATTTTCGGTTTTATACTCCTCAGTCCTGTTGTTGCCGACGATTTTGATTTGTCGTATGTGTTTAATCGAGGAAATCCGGTACTTATTCAAATGCCCCCCCCCCACGCAAATGTATGTTCTTATTCGTTTACGTTTTTAAAAAACAATTGCATATTACAACAGTACTGTGCATATTTTACCGTTGTTACGTCAGTTATCGTTAACGTTTTAGATAACAATAATCCAATTTCTCACTCAAAGTAGCCTACATCGATCCTAGTTTCTACACAACTCACATTTTTCACCTCTCGCCGCTTTCCATAACAACTTGTGAAAATCCGGGTTAGGACTGTCTTCTTCAGCCAATGCTTGTCGTAGGATTGGTTGATTGGTTGGTTTGTTGGTTATCGCCGCACTCAGCATAGTCCAGCTATATGACGGCGGTCTGTAAATAATCGAGTCTGAACCAGACAATCCAGTGAGCATCGATCCACGCAATTGGGATACGATGATAAGTGTCAACCAAGTCAGCAAGCCTGACCACCCGATCCCGTTAGTCGCCTCTTATGACAAGCATGGGTTACTGAAGATCAATTCTAACCCGGGTCTGCCTGTCGTAAGAGAAGTTGATGCTTGTCATGGTGTCATCACAGTTACGTAAATCGATGTTCATGATGTCAGTAACTGGATTGTCTGGTCCAGACGAGATTATTTACATATAGCTGGATTATAATTTATATCCTTTCCAAAACCGCCTTTCGGCTTGTCCCGGAATGGCACAAGTTGGTCACGAATTATCCAACCGACTCGTAAATACAGCTAAATAATAAAACCCTCGATCTGTCACATGACCCCTGTTAACAGGCCTATAACATCATTATATTAAAAACTGGTAATTTTCCGTAATTATTAGCACTGAGAAGCGCTGTTACAAAAGCTGTTGTGTTTTAATATTTTATATTTTACGAGTAGGACAGTAATTCTTACAAATAACCAGCCATTTGTTCAGGTACTCTTGTGAAGCCAAGCCAGGTAGGTGATGCTAGGTGAGTGAGTCTGGGTTCGGATTCCGCTTGAAACAGTGTTTGTTATATTCCGGAACGCCTGCTCAAGGTGGATGGCGTGAGTGAGTTAGTTAAGTTTTACGCCGGTTTTAGCAATATTCTAGCAACATCGCGACGGGGGGATATCAGAAACGTGTTTCACACATTGTACCCATGTGGGGAATCAAACCCAGGTCTTTGGCGTGACGAGCGAACACTTTAACCACTAGGCTACCCCACCACCCCTTAAGTGATGAGGAAATCTCATCACGACTCGCATAACATGCTGAATCCAGTGAGTGAGAGAGTATGGTTTTACGCCGCTTCTAGCAATATTCCAGCAATATCACGGTGGGAACACCAAAAATGGGATTCATACATTGTACTCATGTGGGGAATCGAACCCGGGTCTTCAGCGTGACAGGCGGACGCTTTAATCATTAGGCTACCCTACCTCACCCTGAATCCAATGATGACTGGGTGGAAACAACCCTTTTTTCAAAATACAGCTAATATTATTGAAATATAACTCAAACACAGTGAATATGGTCCGAAAAGTATTTATTTTGTAAACAACATGATTTATTTCAAATATAAATATAAACATTATTTAAAATATAAGTATAAAAAAGAGCACCTTGGCAATGGAAAATCCAATAACAATATTTGTATAAAGTGTTTAACAATTGTAAATATAAGTAGATATAAATATTTATTTTTTGAGCAAAATGGTTTACATATTATGAAGGTATGAGTATGAAAAAATGTTTAAACAGTAGTTTCATAAAAGTATATATTCTCAGTAAATAACAAATATTTATATATCACAGAAGTAGCTTATGTATGTTAATACTTTTAACACTGGCAAACAAGGAACTGACATGTTAAACGTTCCTATACTTTTATCAAAACTACCAACATTTATACAATAACACCTTTACGTTATACTTCTATTTTGATAGCTAGACAAAGTATTAATCATGGTATCATTCGATGGGAAAACCCTGCTGTCTATGTATATTACAGTAAAAGATGAGACTGAAATATTAATTAAAATGTTAAGTGTCAGATTAGGAGCAATATTATTTGATAAAGAAATTCAGTTTTGACTTATGGAGAAAAAAGACCTTTTCAAAGTTTTTAAGATTATACCTATTTTAGTTACATCCTACTTTATAAACAAAATTGGGCAAGAAATTTACTTGGATTTTATAAACTTCCTAAAGGTATTTACCCTTAATTTACGTTGATTTTATATACATATATAGTGGTTTGTGTTATTACACTATATATTATTTCAATCAAGAAATGAAATGCATTGTCCTAATACCATTTTAAGATGAATTTGAAATTTATAATTGCTAGTATTTACATTTCTTTTCAGAAACTCGACCCTAACAACAAACTATTAGAAATTTGGAATATATTAAGTAATTACATTGTTTTTGTATAAACATGTGTTTATAATTTAATCTATACCTGTACAGTAATAATCTACGTACCTTTTAAAAATTATATTCAATTCTATTACCTAAAGTTTGCAAATTATTGACAGAATATGTTACTTTATATCTACTGTATAACATTTCCTTGAGTCTGTACTTGTGTTTATATTCGAAAATGTCCAAAATGGTATTAATAATAATAATATTGATAATAGAATTATTTTACTTTTATATCTAATGTATACAATTTTATGTCCAACTATATTATTTTATTTGCTTATGTTCGAAAATGGCCAAAATCGTTTAATTATTTTACACTCGGACTTTCTTTGCCCCGGCCGGGGCAGGTGCTGTGGCAGAAGCTGCCTTGCGTCTCTTGCAAACATGGCGACGTTTTCTGGGAGTCTCCACTGGAGTCTCGTCGTCGCTGTCGGCCCCGAAGATCTCTCGGACGAGCTCGACATAATGACGTTGTTCCGCTTTGCGGAGAGCTCGTCTCTTCTTCCTCGACTCATGTTCCTCCTCCAAGTCTTCCTCGTAACATGCCTGGACATAAAGAAGTATGAATACACAATGCCTATTAGATGGTGGCCAAGTATAACATAGGCCTATATTACATGTATATTTGGGATTGCAGTTTCTCAGTAACATATAGAATCCCCAGATGTGACTCAACCAAACAAAAGCACTAGAATCTTTACTTTGCAGAGAAAGTGTAATCCCGAAAATAATATATGTTACTTCTTCAGGATTTGGCAAATGGCAGCTCTGAAACGTAATTCAATAATATAGTATTCATATCCATCCGCATGAGGAATTCTGTTAGAGCAGTTTTTAAAAATGGCGTATGGAAAGGAAGTTTTCTGCAGATCCTGTCATTTCTCTATTGCTTCTGTCAGATAAGACACTGTACAGGGTGACTGGTTTCTCAAATCTTGATAGGGTCGGGTTTTTATATCGACTTTTGATGTATTTGAACAGTGTATCAAGAAGTGTCAGCTGAATGAGGGATGAAACAGAAAGCCATCCTCACACATTCGTTAACCCGGGCTCCGTTCCACAATGCGTTCATAAAGTTACGACCTGTCCTAACTCTATAGTTTATCATGGGCTTATGAAAGCTTTGTCGACCGGGACGCAGGTACTTAATCTCCACTTACAACTTATGGTTGCGATGAATCTTAGACACGTAAATGCATATGATATAGGCATTGGGAATATACATGTCATGAAAGATTGGTTGGGAAGATACCTAGGAATATGAGATCTCGGACTACAGTATCGACTGAGACTTCATCAATATAGGCATTGGGAATATACATGTCATGAAAGATTGGTTGGGAAGATACATAGGAATATGAGATCTCGGACTACAGTATCGACTGAGACTTCATCAAAACGAAGAAGAATGTACCGGGAAATACACTATTTATTTATGATGGCGGCCTGTAAATAGTTGAGCTTGGACAAGACAAAGAGTGATTGATATTATGAACAAGTTCCTTCGCAGGAATCAACCTATACTTGCCCCTGACAAGCATAACTTACGAGTGACATTCTAACAAGGAATCCCGCCTTTTTATAAAATACACTGCTAGTGTGCCCATTTGACATTTTATTTACTTTTAAAAGGACACTCAATCTCCAGACATTGACTGTAAATGGGCATGGAATGTGAACCATGTCCACCCATGGCAGGACTTTATTTATGAAAATATTCGTACAAACTTCCTAAAAGTACGGCCGTTTACTATATACGACTCAGTACAACCACGAAGACCCACGGGTACTTATTTAGAAGACTAAGGAGTTAATGATGGTTTACGTGTGATCAACAACATACCAGCAACAGTATGTTAATTTGGGCCAAGCAAACCAGTGGTTGATAGTATAAGCAATGGTCAAGGAATGGGGCTACGATGAAACCGCTCAATCATTTGTTATAAAACAAGCCTACTTGTCCTGAATCCACGCAGAGTGTCCGTAAATGCTCGCATTTGTGAGATGCGATAGTTACACATATCAAATCAAAATTCTATGTCAAAATTAAATCGCAACAAGGCTAGAACTTTATTCTGACAAAAATACGTCTGTCCTATTCGATGGGACAATTTCAAAATGTGTTAAAAGTGTCCTACCTTCCTCTTGGTTGGCATCTTGGTCGCTGGCGGCTCGGTGATATCGAGCTTGCCGAAACACCTGAGGAGGCGACGAGGGGCAACGGAACGACGTGGACGAGGAGGGCCGATGCTGAGGCGGCTGAATGGTTCGACGAGGTCATCAACCTTTCTCCTCTTGGTGCTCTTGCCCTTGCCCTTGCCAGTGTAGGGTACGGGGGCGGTGGGCGGGGGAAGCACAGGCTCATCGTCTGAGTCGCTGCTGGAGTCATCAGTCTGGAAGAAACACGAAGAACAAACAGATGAGTGAGCCCCAAGTGATGAATGTCTTGGTGCTGACATAGCAGAAACAATTAGGGGCTGGGTTCCGAACCAACGATCACAGGAATCTGTTAGGCTCAAGTGACAGTTTCTGCGCAAATCCTGACGAACTGTTTGGTTTTACATTCATACAGGGCCCAACTGTACAAAGCGATCGTAGCTGTATGATGGTAAAACAATGTTAACATGTGGAAGGTACGATAACCTTATAAGTAAGAATTATGTTTAATTGCCTGTTTTTTGATAATCCAAGTTTTATTGTGGCCAAAGATACCTTCAAATTTACCTACAAATTTTCGGCTTCAAATAGTATGATATTTACCTCATCCTCGTTGTACCAAACCCTGAGACCTCGAGCCTGTAAAATATCAATCAAGGAATATCAATGACGTTACTCACAGAAACCATTCCCGCACATTCAGACTATGTTTGGCTGTTTGTTTGTTGATCATCATAATGATCATCGATATTATGCAGTTGGGATACGATGACGGCAACCAAGACAGTGAGCCTGACCACCCGATCCCATTAGTCGCCTTTTACGACAAGCATGGGTTGCTGAAGACCAATTCTGACTCGGATCTTCACGGGTATAGGACAGAAGGACATCCAACAGAGTCATCCATAGACAACCGTACTGATCATACGTGATGAGGCTGCGCAGTTCAAAGACAGGTTGATGCATGGATGTCATTCCGGAATTAAGGAACATTGTGACCTCAAAAGCGGCCGATAAAGCGACTCTTTCATAAGAATTTCGATGAAACCTATTTGATATATTTAAGAATCGTTGAGGAGCATCTTGATATGCTTTTCAAAAACACATTTTTCAATACTTTGTAACTGAAAAAATGTTTAGTTGATAATATAAAGCAGATTCTGGCAAACATCAAAGCGTAGTATATATTTTCTGGTAAAATGTCAATCAGGATCAGGAAAATAAGCGAATTCAGGATGCAGTCAAGCTGGTCCGACTATTTTATATATGAAAGCAAGCGTGGAGATTTGCACTTTCATAGTTCGATATGTCCTTCAACAAGAAAGATTTTGTTAGGTATAAATGCTTTCTCCCTTAAATGCTTCTACTCTCTCTATGAAAGTATTAGCCGTAAAAGTTTGTGTCTTGGACGTTATTGCAAAACCTCCAACGTGTCTATGAAAAAACATTTCTTTGAAATCTGACTTTATCGCGGCAAAGGTCCAGAAAACAACCAGTCACTATTTAATTTACTTGAGATTAAATATTTCGGTTGGGTATTGGAATTGTTCTTGTCAAAGATTTACCAAGTATAAGTTGTGAGTCACAACAACAACCAACCTGAGGACCATATCTGATTATCGTAAGTCTCTTCCCAAGGTCCGGGTCATGGGTGACAGACGAGGAGATGCCAGCTGAGCTGTAGCCTGAGCTGCAACTTGGGCTAGCAGCTGATCCAGAGTTTGATCCAGAGCTTGATCCAGAGCTAGATCCAGAGCTTGACCCATATGCAGAGGTTGTGGGGGATCCAGAGGAACAAGAAGATGTCTCAGCACTTGGTCCAGACTGAAACAAACAAATGAGTGGTCACTGTGAGCATAGGTGGAGGACAATTGAGTAGTTGAGTTGTGTTGGGCTTTACGTCACATCAGCATTATTTCAGCCATATAGTGACTCTGGATCCCCCACCGCTGCATATGGATCAAGCTCTGGAGGCAAACTGAAATGGGGTCACAATTAAATGATAGTTATAAAGAAAACACATTTACACATGTTTCTTAAATGTATTCGATAATCAGGATGATCAGGAATTTTATGCATTTGGTAACCGGTTGTCATTTTAACCATTTTGGACTTGAACATAGAGAATTTTCTGGGTTTCATCTTCATTTATTGTTTGAAACCCAGAAAATTATCTATGTTCATCAAATAGCATCTTCTAAAATGCCAATCAAACACCATTTTGGACTTGCTTATACATTATATATAATTTTGCGTTCCAGACAAACCTTATGGTCCAAGCTAGGGGAATGGTCCACTTCTTCAGTGGATTGGTCCGAGACATCATCCTCTTCGCTGGAATCCTCGTCCTCAGATGAGCTGCTAGATGAGCTGTCAGATGAGCTTCTGGATGAGTTGGAGGAGGAGTTGTCAGAGCCACTGTCAGATGAGCTGTCTGAACCATTGCATTTGGCGCACGAGCTGCTGCTGCATGTGCTGCCTGAAGATGATGAGGTGCATTCTTTGTCATCATCCGAGTCTGAGTTGTATTCTGAGCCGCTCTCTGAGTCTGATGACGGCAGAGCCACAGCAGCAGGGTTCACTTCAGTCTGTAACGAGATGGAAGAGGAATGTTTCTCAAGGTTCATGTACACAAATACACAATACACATCATTTCCAAATGCACTTTTCTTAATTTCAAAACCATCAGGGTGATATAGAAGGGTGTTACCAGACCTCCCCAGTTATCAGGGTGTTATTAGAGTTTCCAATTACTGTGCACCGGCAATGTTTTTGTCTCTTTTCAATAACCCATAGGAACCTTTTCATCTGAGCATCTAAGTATCAACTCTTTCAAATAACTTCATTATGTCCTTATTGTATCTACAACAGCTCAGCGTTCCTGACAAATGGATATCAAAGGTGTTCTCGTAAGTTAGCATGTTACTTTACCTTGTCCTGAGTATCAGTTGGAGCTACCTCAGTTTGACGTGAAGGGGAGACAACCTGTTCTGAGCTTGAGGCAGCACCCGATCTAGGGGAGACAACCTCTTCTTCCTCGTCTGATGACGGCAGAGGAGCAGCCGCAACCTGCTGCATGAGGTCGGAGAAAACCTGTAGGAGAAGAGGTTTATGGTTAACATGTTGGTACTGTTCCAGCCAGAGTCTGTGAATCGTATCCAAATAAATATGTCACAAATGCTTTCTATGTTTTTTGGTTGAACATCCCATAAAAGACTTCAAGTTACACTTACACTTTTGTTTTGTTCAGCTTAACCAGTACCTGAACAAGTTCAGGCTTCGGCATCTCTCCAGACACGGGCGGCAGGGTGGCTACATCACTCATGGGGCGTCGAAACAGACGAGGGTCCCGGGATGACACACGGCCACAAGGGACGCCCAGCTTGTACCTATAGACGGAGATATCGCTTGGGGTGCTTGGATAGACGCCCAGCTTGAAGCTCAGGTCCATAGGCAGAGACTGGTCCGGGAGGCTGAAGGGGGCTCCGTTGGCGCCGACCGGGGGCCCAACACCGGGAGGAGTCCATCCTGAAAGCAACGAGACAGGAATTAGTGAATGAATGGGTACATGTTGTCTGAGTTATTGAGTTCTTGACATGCTAACAACTAAAAGTGGAGGCATGTTAGATTCATGGCACGCCTATTTGAATCTTTGACAGGGAGCCACCTCGGTCTTCAACTAACAGGAACTGGAGTTCTGAAATCCTAACTAATGTATTCTTTTTTTGAAAGATGCGATCCTGCTTTATCACGACTGGTCGGATGGTAATTACTAAAAATCGAATCTTCACAGGGCAAACAGCGATTGATATTATGAACGATCATTGTTGCACTTCACTTTTCCTTTTGAAAATTTAAAAACAATCCAACCAATAGATTTCAAGATATTGGTTGAAGACAAATGTCTGCGAAGGACGGAATTCCTTGATGAAACTATATATCCCCGACCTTCTTTGGTAAGGCGTATGAAAAGGTTATGAAACTGAAGAACACCGGTATAGGGTGAGTAATACCACAAAGATATATTCAATGGGGAATTTCCGTTATATATTCAATCTTGCTACGAGAACGGATATGTTTTGAATGAATAGTGAAATATTGTAAAATTATTTTGGAAGTCCTCTTTGGTAGTCAGAAGACATGTAGCACAGTGAAAGGGCAAGTAATTAACCGAGCCTATATTTTACAATTTAGTACTTTATGGCATGAGAAAAGTGCCATCGTACTACACTACATGTGATTAGGTGTGAGAGAGTAGCTGGACATGTGTTAAGTGCAGTGCGATAGGGGACATCTAACAGGGACCAATTCTCAAATCTCATTTCAATCTTTAAATTCCCACTGGTTGAGAAGGATGAAGTTCACCAGCTTATAGCGTTGTCTAACTGATCTTAGGAGCACTGAAACACCTTCAGTACATGTGACCCTGGGCCTAGATTCGCGAAGCTCTCTTCGTAAGTGCCATACATTAACATTAACTTAACTATCTTAGCGCTAAGAGAGCTTCGAAAATCTAGGCCCTGGCTGTTTGATAAGTCTTAAGGATATTCCCGCAGTAAATGGCTACTTGCACATGTAGGCTGTCTACGTGCCGGTGCCTGTTTATCGATATCTTGTATTGGATTCAATATATCGAGTTCCAATAACATGTTGGAAGTGTCGGTACACTCACAGTTGAAAACCATGGATAGTATTAGATAGTATACTGAATGGATAAAAAAAAAATAACCAGAGGTTAAAAGCAAACAGAGGTAGATTCATATGAAAAGCCAAAACAGAGAGAGAAAAAGATGAAATCTGTGTTTCCTATAACCCCTCAACTTAGATGTGTTGAAATAAAAATACAAATGCATTTCTTTTTGTGTTCTATTTTGTTTGTTGAGTTTCATTTTAGAGCCAGTTTCAACTTTAGACAGAAAAATATTATTACCAGGATGTCTTATGGTTCATGCTATAAGACACTGACACTGACTGCCATACAAACTATCCGAAAAATATATTCAGACTCTTTAAGGATATAGTATAACGTCCCATCCAAACATACACTCGTGACTAGGGCTGTGTATTGGCAAATAAATTGCAACACTGTATTGCGATCTAGATACCCGGATATCGCGATATATTGGGAGCTTAAGTGTTTGACAGTAAGTGCGACTAATTGTACATGTTGATCCTATTTTCAACATTCTAAGTACTTAAACATATATGTTATGGTTCTGGTAACAGCAATCTCAAAATTAGGTTGCAAAGTCGGGGATTTCTTTTTTATACAATTTATAGTATTACAGTATGCCGTTTTGTCATTGAATAACGAAGAACAAAAAAAAAAATGTTGTGACTGAAAGTGTTTGACAAGCGTATTGCGATAAACCGGTAATACTGTGCAGTCCTAATCTTGACAATGTCCATTGTCCTCATGCCACTTGTCTCTCTTCTAGCCTCATACGGTTTAAGTGCAGGATCACGTTTAGCATATATATATATACAGTAATTCCTACTTATCACCAGTATACGATGGTTCGGTCTTGTAAAATGTAAACTGAATTCAAAGAACTCTTTATAAATCTGATCTTGGGTAATGGTGGTGGGTGATGGAATGGCTGTTGTGACTACATCAGCATAACGTATACACAAATAACCCAAAGGTGTTTCAGAATGGCGGATAACTAATAACTCACAGAATTTGGACCAAACAGCTTTTCCCTGGATTCACCTGCACAGGCTTACCATTGTTAGCTTGCATGATGTATCAAGAACTTAGATTATACGAAACTTATTTCCAAATAAACATCTGTCTTTTCATCCCATTCCCGAGGATACCAGTAGTTCACAGAATACAAATAATTCCATATAACATATATTTCCTCAAACCTCCCCATTTTAACTATGAAATCGATGGATTTTACCAAAAATGGGAAGACTTTAAGATGATTTCTTTCATACCTACACCCTATCAGATTAACCATATCATTTAACCAGAAGTAACATTTATATTGTTTCTCTGGCTAACATTCACAAGAGAAATTTCCAGTAACATATCTAGCTTTTGTTTCTGCCTTGGTTAAAATTCATGTAACTGGGAGGCCTAAGTTGTCAAAGACAACACGGATGAGTTATCAGTGATGTAAATCAGAACTAGCACCGATGTGTCTAACTGTTAAACCAAACAGAAAGGTATGGTTCTGGTAGGATATTCGTTGTATTGGCAATGACTTGGTGTGTAACTGTCGTTCTGGCTTGTGTTACCACCAGTGATACCACTAACAGGTTCAGGTTGTAACACTTGAAACGTTCTGTTTAACAATATAACCCCAGCAAGGGTATGCATGACTCAACTACAACATTTTAGAAAGCAATGATCATTACCTTCAAACGATTTCTTTATTTCTTGAAACGCATCTTGTACAAAACGAAGCATTAACTAAATATACAAAACAAAGAATGAGAGTTGAAAATGATGGTATTTTGTAACGACCCAATTATTTATAGAAAGGTGTCACGGACATCTTTTTACCGCATGACTTCCAGTTATTTCACTAAATACTATCAGTCCTTCCCGTCTATAACAAGTATCCATGGTATCCTCAGTATATTAACCCCTAGTAGTGGGGGGTATTTGAGTCTTAGGTTCCATCTCAATGTATTATTTACCAAATGCCATGTCTTCAACACTGAAGACCTTGCATACGTTTTCAAATTTATACCAAGTTAACACATTGGGACCATTTCATATGTAAAGTAAATGGTTTCATAACCTATCACATATTCAGAGTGTTTCTAATATATCCTCAGATAAATGGTGAAAGACTCGCTGTTGTGCTATGTTGTGTTTGATAACGTTTGTTACACAGTTTGAGTCAATATTACAGGAGGACGTGAAGGGCAAGCGCCACATACAGTTGAGATTGTAGACTATCAGCATACGTCTCCCTTTGCTTATCTACCTTTATTGAAGGTTGACTTGACAAACGAAGAGGAAAGGGACAGACTGAAGTCAAGGCGAAGGCAAAGAGATGATAAAGAAAACGAGGGTGAGTGAATTAAAGAAAGAAATAAAGAAAGAAAGAAAGATGGAAATACCTGAGACAGACGACAACATATGGAAAGCAAAAGCAGCAAATAAATGTGCTTGAAATCAGTAAAATCGCAGTACTTTGCAAAGCAAAAGTGGTGTGATATCAGTATCCGTATCCGTTCACAATGAACAAAGATGGCTGACTGAGATCAGTGTTGCTAGGTTACAGCTTTCATATTATATCACGTGATAATGGTTGGATGTAAAACGTGAACGGGAACATTTTCCCGGCACTTCCGGTACCACTTAACCTGTAATATTTTTCAGTGTTCATTAGTATGACTGAAACCTTACTATCTAAACCAATGGAAATCCTTGACTTCTTCCCGAAAAAAACCCAAACATTCTTATTAAATAAATATTTATATTTGATTAATGTTTCTTCAACTTTCTTGAACTAACAGAGGTCAGTTGCACACACATAAGCATTAATCCATATGACAAGTATAAGATAAAATAAGATAAGATAATATAAGATATTTCTTTTTCATCCCAAGGGAAATTTGGTTTGCATCATGTACAGTTCTCCAGTTTTTACATTTATAAAACAGTTATATATAATACTTCAAATGACAATCCTTAAACTTTTGTATAAAATAATCAGGATATAAATACATCAATTTAGTACACAAACATTGGTATTGACTAGAAATTCTATATTGCCCGCTTGGAAGACATACTAAGCCATTCATTGAACAAACAACGTCTAGATACAAACTGCGTGATGAAACTTAGCAATTTCAGTAGAAATGGTATATGTCACCTGTTTCATGTAAAGGAACCACATGACAGTTATACTGATAACACAACTACCACGAAGTCTACCCTACTTCCATAAACAGAATTCATCAAGTCCATTTGTTGATAGATCAACACACTGAACAGTATGTGAAAAGGACACTGTCTTCAAAGAACAATTGTAACTTCATGTTCGTTTGTGTTTATGAGGGCCAATACATTTCCGCTTTACATATACCCAGTGGTAACTCTTAAATCTGAATCAGCTTCGAAAATTCGAAATGATGATAACACGAACCCTAATTAATTTAAACAATGAAGTGTATGTGTCCAAAATATACTATTTACTGAAATTTTGGTGATATTGTTGTACCGTTTGTTTCATTGTATATGCCTGCTGTGCAAATGTTGTTAATGAATTCAGTGAATCTCACATCTTGGTAAAGTGAAATCAGACTTGCCTACAGTCCAAGATGCAGGGTCCATCTCATCACTTGACTACTGTCATGTGCTACGAACAGCCCAATGTCTCTTAGGTATAACGATGATATTATATGCTTGATTGGCATTTAGAAGATGCTATATGATGAACATATAGATGTTTCTGGGTTACATCTTCTTTTTATGGTATTATATAT